GGTATAAAAAAAAGAAATATATATTGTGTTGAGTTAATAAATGACAGAATATTGTCGAAGTAAAAGAATATACTTCAGTAAATTAATATTCCCATTCTTGAGATTTGCTAAGAATGAATCGATTCTAAATATTCGTCTTGAAATTTCGAATTAGCTCTTCTACATACCCAGCAAAATTTCTTATGATATGCAATGTCCTTTAGGCTTTTTATAAATTCAAAGCTTCCGTATTTCCCTTAATACAATTCAGCAGAATAATTGACTACTACAGAGAGCAGTGCTTAATCATTGCACTTTACCAGAGTAGTCTATCCCCGAAGATATTTCAATTTATTTCAATCAATATAGTATATACATATATATAGAATAGTATTAAGAAACCTTTGGAAACGATTATAAATACCATCTGATTAAAGTTAATTAGAATATGATAATGAAAACGATGTTCGAGCCATTTGGTCCAACTGCCTTAGATCTGTGATATGATTTTCTAAAAAAATATTTGCGAAATGAAACCTCAAGAGATTAGCTAATACAATTGCGAGAACAAAGTTTGGAAGTTAAATTCAAATTGCAACATAGCTTGATTAACCTATAACTGTTAATGAAGAGTGAGAACCTTTAGTTCACCTCATAGTAACAAATAATAGGTTAATTTCCTAATCACAAACGTTTCTTAACTCAACCGATGGAAAATTTACTCTCTGAAACGTAATATCAGAGATAAGCATTTTGATTTATGAACTAACCATTAAACAGTTGATCAGTTGAGGTTTTGTAAGATTGTCATCGATTATAGGATTGGATGACGGTTACCTAACACTATTCACTGACTGAGGGAGATTGAAACAGTAAACCAATGAATTCTAACTTAAAAGTCTAATGTTATCATGACTGTACAATGAAACCTGAAGGTACTCTTTTCGATCCATGAAAAGGGTCGTGGATGGGTATCGCTGGGGAGGAGACCTAAGTCAGGATGATATAGTTATTTAGTGTCTCCGTGGCTTTTCGCGACTTTCCTATTCATTTCACAGTTCCTAATCAAAATTAACCTGAAAAGAAATAGCTGTTCAGATTTGAAAGTTCCTGTTAAACTAAATAAAAAGTTATTTGGTTGTATAAATTAATTATTGAATTACTCATTACTTCTCTACCGTAGATTTGTCTACATTTGCATTACTAGAAACTGCAGTAAATTGAGTATATTAGTTCTGTAGATATTTTTCAAAGATTTAAGCCAACTGTTTTCTAGAAATATTTTACTCAATAAAACGTTATATAATTTAATCTTTGAAACAAAAGCAAGAACTTTGATTGTCTGTTGTATTTCAACCTTGTACAGTTTCATACATTCAACTGAAATACAATTTAACTATTCTACTACGGTTTCTCAGAGCAAAGGTAAAGCATGATATTTGTGTATTAATCTTATGGTTGTTAAGGTAAAGTGCACTTAATCATTGATTTTTAGCACCCTATATGTGTATTCAAAAAGTATTCAGACTTAGGGGTAACTAAATAATTTGAACATATTAAGGTAGTATGATTAAATAATTTTAACTAAGTCGAGGGCAAGACAAAATAAGTAATTTCCGTTCAGTAAAAGAATATACATTTAAAGATCAAATATCTCTTTAAGATCCAAATAAACAAAGTAGACTTGAAGAACTTATGAATTAATTGCTAGATATTCAAGTGAAGAATGGTATACTTTAGTGCCCTAACGACTAACAAACATATTTCTATTAAATTAGAAGATACATGGTCAATTTCATCAACTATTTGAATCTAGTTAACAGAAAATCCATCCATTTAGTAGTTATTGATTGTGAGTAAACAGAACCATAATTGTAATTCAAACAGCTTTTGCTTTGAGAAAAGTTATTTATTTCAGTTCTAACCTGGTGATTAAGAGTTTCATTATGCCATCATGTAAACATTTCAAAAGTAGTCTTTTTATGGTAGAAAACCCTTTTTAAATATAAGGAAAATCAAATACTTACCGACAAGCACAACTATTTACTATTAGTAAAAACAATGAAACCCTTTTGACATCTCCCTCTCAATCTTCCACTGCAATAAAATATCAGCTCAGTTAGATATCAATAATTAAACATCAATGGTGCCTTTGAACCACTGCTTTTGTAAGTTTAGACCATCAGGTGGGAAATGCTAAGATTAGACTCAGGGCACTAGGTAAAGAGACCAAATCTATCGATGAGATCGTGAATTCTTAATAAGTAAGGTGGTTAGGATATATATATTGGTTAAGCCCGACCACCGCCTACCTTAACGCGAGATGTTTGCTGGTATGGAATAGGTTAGTGGAGAGTTGGATATGATCAAACCAAACGTGACACCAGTTCATAAAGACAATAACTACTAGACTTAGTCATGTTGGCAGGTTCAAAGCACCTGGTTGGGGTCCACGCGATTATCGTAATCGCCAAATGAAGACTATGAGTGATAAGGCCCAGAACTGATGACAGTAGTGCAGATGCATTCATTCTTTGTTTCTCTTTAGATTTCAAGTTTCAGAATTATTTGACAAATTCTTCTCAATTTATATTGTTTATGCCTAATATTTTCTATTTCCACTAAAACTACTATTATTTCTTCTATTCTGGAATTTATCCTTACAATTTTGTCTCGCTATGTTAATGTTAACTTGAATCAATACACATATTTCAAAGGTTTAATATTTTCTATATCCGACTAACTCAATGAATAAATGATTAGGGGAGAAACAAACAATTATCAAAACCAAAAGGGGTTTTGTGGAGATTTTCATAATGTCAATAATTGAAATCATGAGTCAATTGAAGCTAGATCACCATGGAAAAAAAGCCTGGAAGCACTGGACGACCGTTTCATCCTAGTACGGGACTCCTCAGCCATTATCGAAACCGACAAATAATATACAAAAGTGATAACACTAGTATTGAAAATTACAACAACAAAAGACATTTTATTAAAATGTAATACATTTTTCATTACAATATTAATGTAATGATAATGTATAGTGAATTTGTGAAAAGCATTTCACTCAATTCATAACAAGTTTCAACTCATTTATCTAAATTATGATGAATAAAGAGATAGATGAAAGTTACACACCAACCAATTAGGTGAACAAAAAAAGAAAAAAAAACCAAATGTAAATAAACCTGAATACAGTAATTATATAAAAGAAAAAGAAAAAGAAAAAAAACAAAGAAATGATATTAATAATCATGGTACGATGTTAACATTGAAATGTTATTATGGTGTATTACGATTGTTTAAACAGTTGACTAAGACAACATGTACTTTAGTCAAACAATAAAAATGACAAGTAAATATTGATAGTTCCATTTGATAGAATATAACAACTTCACTATTAAATAATTCAATATCAAATAGTAATGATATTAAGCTTAGTAATTAATTAAGGTGGGCAGATATCTTTTCGAGATAGAAAAAAAGATTGTTTTAATGACTTTGGAGATTATAGTTCAACATCAAACGTACTTCTTACTGAATAAAAAACCTATTCGCATTCATTTATTTGATTAATTATAGCTTTATAAGTCAAACGGAACATTGGTTGTGTTTCTGTTTCAACTGCCTTCTAAATTAAATCATTTGTTTCATTACTGTAAACGTGTTCCCTATTCAACACTTTTTATTTAGATAATTTCAAGGAAGATATGAGCTTCTTAGTTTTCTAAGTAAATTTTATTTGATCAATTTATTGAATTAAATGAAAGGTAAGAAGTATGCCTCATCTCTAGTGTTAATAACTTTCATGGTTTTCATGGTATATAAATTCTTAGTACATGATATTCCGATATGGGGGTTCTTTCCATATATATACCATTTACACCAGTAATTACTGTTATCTTATATTTCAATATCGATAGCCAAATAAATGTTATTATATTGACGTATTAAGAAAACGTTTCTTCCTGACAGTGATCCACAATGTTAGGAGAATTATGATGTCAAACATTCGTATAGCTTAGTTCAAACATTTTTAAAAGGCCAGAGGTACTGCTAAATACTCAAAATCATAATCTCAGTGAAAAGTTTGAAGAATAACTTTGAGAATAACGTATTTTATTCAATGATGGACTGATTTAATTTATATGAGAG